TTCATCCCTTGTCCATATACAACAATTATCAGATATTGTTGTTTTATAATCTTTATCAATAAATTCTCTGGCAATTTTAGATAGTATTATTTCTGATGCACGACTGTAACCGACTAAACAATTACCACCAGAACCATCCAAATAATAACAATGATTTTCATATAAAACTTCATTAACTGGACAACTATTGATTGCTGGCATTGTGGTCGTTGTCATAGTTGTAGCAGCCGTAGATATTGAATCACTGTCAAAGTTAATTTTCCATGATTTTGATTAGAATTGTTTACATGTACTGTATTGTACTTACGTGGTTGTTAAACATAAATTATCCATTGCAAATTGTTGTCCATCAGATCCATAAGTCGAAAATGTAATATTATCTAAATCAATCCAATTTAGTTCAATCAATTTAGACATATTTTTATGAAGAATAATTGTTGTACTATAAATTGGTGTAGATAAACGTCGTCCAATTATTGTTACAGCTAAATCGTTTACCCAAGCAGCAGAACCTACGAAGGAACTGATATTAAAGATATTGTTGTCTCTACTACTTATTGTCATTGGATTCCCATTTCCATTGTAAGCAATAAATTGTCCGCTTTTAAGTGCATTAAAATATCCACTTGTATTCAGTTGAGGATTTGCCGATGATTTATTTAAAGCCATTGCTTGGTTCCAGTTTAAACCAGAATATCCATTAGGTATGACAAAACCATTACTCGTATCAGTTACATTTAGTATATTATCAAATGTAATCAAATCAGAATCGAGACAATCTATGAATTAAAATTTGAAACAAGATTTTATCTCTTCTTTGTTTTGTATACGTACGTTGTATTACTTTTAATAGGAAAAAAGTAATGCAGTCCCTGAGACTTTCATCATTCTACACTAAACTGTATGGGAAATACAGCTGTGCAAAAGTGATGTGCATAAGTGCAATTTCTATTTATTAGTATTTAGGAGTAGCGCGGTCGTTTCTGAGATCACTATAGAGACTTTTCAGATCGCATTATTTCAATGTCGAAAAGGCTCCGGTGTGAATTAAAATACAGATTAAGGATCATTATGAAGCTCGTAGTAATGTTTGGTTTTATTTCCAACGTCGCTACAGAGTCTGTATTTAAAAACAGCCATTGCGAAAAATCAAATTTTCTTTTTAATTTGATAATAATGAATAAAGTGATTTTACTTGGTGATAGTGATGTTGTAGTCGTTGTTGATGATGATGATACTGAAATTTAATCTGAATAACTTGTATGCATCGAGAACAGAAGAAATTTTGACTCACATGGAGGACAAACTTGAAGACTAGCTAATGCAATTGGATAACATAATGGTTTTAAACTGTTACATCGACTATGTTGAATACATATTGTATTTGGTGCTCTACACGTTTGATTATCGTTTTCACACGGGGTAAGTATCGAGCATTGCACTAGAGCATCAGCACACATTCCACCACCATTAGTTAGTGATAAACATTCACAATCAGTATTTATTGAGCATCCTACGCGTTTACAGTCATTTGGATTACATTGGGATTCAATGGGTGGTTGTGCTTTAATATCACTGAACACAACACTAAGTGTTCTGAAAAAATTTTCAGATATACAATGTGTGTAAGAAGTATTCGGACACTGTAAGAAGCTTCTCGTGCGAGCTTATTACCTCTTAAAATAAAAGAGATAAGAAAGTTATTTTTTTTTTATCATAAGATAACCAAAGTCTGTTCTACACTTCTGTTCACTTAAATAAATTTTAACGATCGTACATGAGCCTATAATGAGTCTACGTTTACACTCAGTTGACATTTGGAACGAAAAAAATATTTGCACGCTTTTTTTTTCTCTATGGTTTCTGACATTTCTCAAGCAGCGACGGATCTTTCAAATTTCAAATATACCATTTGAAAGAGCGAAGTCTCAGCTTTCTAATAAAAAAAGAATAATTAAAAAAAGTGCTCTGTAGATGTTACAAAATTAAAAGTTATGGATATCAGCATGAAATTTATTTAAAACGCGCTCTTTGACCGTAAAACTTGATCAAAACTCAATTTTACATTTACCGTTAGAAGGAGCTTGAAAAACTACATGAGGAGGTATGTTTAGATTTCCGAAAAAAGCCAATTTCCGAAATTACCATAATTTACGATTCACCATACGCCTTCATCCACGAACCAAATACAGAAATTTACCAGAAATTACCGAGATTCAATAATATCTCAAAACCAAATTTCCAAGTAATTCGCCAACATCCACCAGAATTTTCTATACAAATTCAGAAAACACTCCATCACGCAAAAGAAATTTCCTTAAACTTCCAAAGTCTATTACAGTAGTTTCCGAAATTTACCACAATTTTTCGAAACCTCAATTATTAATCACATGGAGATATCCATTAGAACTGGGACCCCTACATCAGAAAATACGAGAATTTATAGAAATTTCGGTAATTTCGAGAAAATTTTGGTAACTGCGGTGAAATTACTGAAATTTCCAGCATTTATTGGATAGAGATATCCATTAGAATACGGACCCCTATCTCGAAAAATAAGAGAATTTATAGAAATTTCGGTAATTTCGAGGAAGTTTTAGTAATTACTGGGAAATTACTGAAATTTCTATTATTTATTAGATAGAGATCTGCATTAGAACAGTGATCACCATCTCCAAAAGTAAGAGAATTTATAGAAATTTCGGTAGTTTCGAGGAAATTTTGGTAATTACTGGGAAATTACTGAAATTTCTATTATTCATTACATAGAGATATCCATTAGAATAGGGACCCCTATCTCGAAAAATAAGAGAATTTATAGAAATTTCGGTAATTTCGAGACAATTTTCGTAATTACTGGGAAATTACTGAAATTTCTAGGATTTATTACATAGAGATCTGCATTAGAATAGGGGCCCCTATCTCGAAAAATAAGAGAGTTTACAGAAATTTCGGTAATTTCGAGGAAATTTTGGTAACTGCAGCGAAATTACTGAAGTTTCCCTTATTATACTGAATTTCTCTTATTTTCGAAGGTAGGGGTGTTTATTCTAATGGATATCGCTATCTAATAAATAAAAGAAATTTCAGTAATATCCCAGTAATTACCAAAATTTCCTCGAAACTACCGAAATTTCTAAAAGTTCTCTTATTTTCGGCGATAGGGGTCCCTATTCTAATGGATATCTCTCTCTAATAAATAAT